GGGATGTAAAATCCCATTTACTCAGTTAACTGATTAAAACTGTTATATTTAATTGGTTAACTGCTTAACTGGGGGAGGAGGAGGGGCCTGGCTGCCATGGCCAGGCTGGAACAGCCCTGCCCATGGTGCACTGTTCCGGCCAGGTTGGGCACGCTGTGGCTGGGGACGTATCTGAGTGGGCTGGGGCACCTTTCCTCCATATGCAGTGCGCCAGGCCAGGGCTGTTGCTGATGAAGGCAGCTCTAGCCTGGCTGGAACACACGTCCCGCAAGGCTGGAGCAGTCCCCTGTCCATTGTGGGTGGAGGAGGTCTGCTCCAACTTCCACCCATTAACCGTAACCGTAAGCGTCACCTGGTAAGGGTGATGCTTACCAGTTAACCATTCATATCTCTAATTTATAATCACATATTTAAAAAGGTATCTTTATAATCATGACGGATAAAATAGTTGCTTATTATCAATATTTTTATTTTGAGTTTTCTGGTTAGTATTTTTCTTAAAGTCCCCAACAGCTGGAAACAGAATCTCTACTTTATTTTAAAAATTAGATTAAAAAAGATTTTAATCCCCATGATTTTGGGGGGAAACTTCATGTTGAACCCTATCTACTTCCAACACTAAAAGGCAAATAAACTCCCCCTGCAAAAGAGTAGTCCTGTAGCACCTTTGAGATATAAACATATATATTTTTAATTAATTAATATTAGTCTCTAAGGTGCTTTAGGTCTCCCTTAAATATTGTTTATTGTTAAAATCATTAGTTTAAAATTGTCTATTTTTTTTTTTTTTTTGGAGGGACTGAGTTATAATTTTTGAATGCTTGTGATTGACAGTTCTAGGGTTAAACACATTTTTTTTGTTAAAAACATAAAGTGAAAGGTTAAACTTTGGAGCACAGTTCTGCAACAGCTGTTAAGAAAATGGTGGATTTCAAAGCAGTTAGTAGCCTACATAAGGCTCCATTTATACTCCATCACAACTTGTTGAAATATTTCTTGCTCTTAGCTAGCTACATAGTATAGTGGAAGCAAGTTTAAATATATCACTGACTCAGACAGTATAAACCACTGATGGCAGTTTTCAACAATGGCTGTCAGTTATGCAAGCAATAAACTTTAAAAATAAGTTGCAGAGAATACTGTTTTTCCAATCATTTCAGGAATGGCATTCCATTGAAAAAAGCATGTGGTATATTAAGGCTGGCATTTTTGCTGTGCTTGTGAATATACTGGAAAGAGTTACAAGTGGATAAGAAATCAGAGTGATTAGGTAGGGAGAGGCAGAATTATGCAGGCCTTAACATAAAAGGACAAGAAGTTTGCATTTTAATACAGTGGCAGGGGTATGAGTGTGAGGTAATGAGTAAAGAAATTGAAGTGGTATCATTTAGAATTGAGAAGACAGGTAGACCTCAGGGAGGCCAAAGAGATGAAATTACAGTAATCGAGATGAGAGATAAAGTGAATAGGAGTTTTAGCTGCAACAACTGAAAGAAAAGGATGATCTGAGAATTGCTGAAGGAAGAAATAGTGAGATTTGAACATGGTCTAGAAGTGTGAGGCACAGATGTGGGAAGAGTAAAATCTTCTTATGGGCCTGAATATGGGGGAGGGAGGAGATGGTAAGACAATTGGGAAAGCAGGGATGGTTGGTAGGGAAAAAAACAAGAGTTAAGTTTTGGGTACCATTTAAGGAACTGAGCTAGTACAAGAATAAAGGGCAGTTTAATTTACAGTAGCATTGGTAGTGGCAGGCAGCCCAGCTGAGCCATGCTGAGAACAAACCCTCCTGAAACTGGTGAGAGTGTTCTGCTGGTACTCATGCTAATGTAGCTGTTTATACTTGCATTACCTCAGAGGGATCTAACATGAAAGCAGAGGACTCGTGTCCCTAGTTTGTGGTAAAAAGACAGACTAAAGTTAAGCCTGCGCTGGCACTTTACAGCACTCTAACTTTCTGGGTCAGGGTTATGAACACCCTCCTGCTCCCAAGCACAGCAAGTTACAGTACTGTAAAGAGCCAGTGTGAACCAGGCTACTGCACTGGAATCACAATTATACAAATCCCTCCCTTACCCGCACTGACTCTGGTTTGTGGACACTTAATTTGATTTGAATGAATTAAAATCAGTGCAGGTAGATTCTGTTCAGCTGAAGATACTTCGAAGCCATTGGCAATAATATGTAAAAACTCATGGATGACAGGAAAGGTGCCAAAGGTTTGGAGAAGAGCTAATGTACTGCCCATCTGTAAAAAGGGGAAAGCTGGCAATCTATAGGCCAGTCAGCCTGACTTTGATAGCTGGGAAGCTACTAGAGCAATGTATGAAACATTTGAATTTGCAACCAAATGAAGGGGTAATTGCTGGCAACCAGCATGGATTTACTAAGGACAAATCATTCAAAACCAGCTTAGTTTTCTTCAGCAGGGTAACTGATTTGGTGCATAGTAGGAATGTGGTAGCTGTAATATACCTGGTTTTTAGTAGGGATGTAATAGTGTAGTCAAATGATTAACCAATAAGCGGGTACTTATCAATTAACACTGTCGACTACATGCAACACTCCTTCTCTCCCCCTCTCCCCTTCCCCTGGCAAGTACATTTTTTAGTGGCCTGTCTGACAGGCTGACTCAGTTCTGGTTTGTGCTGGGACCAGCATTCACCCCTGCACTGGCTCATAGTGCTTGTAGTGCAGAGCTGCAGTGGGGGTTACTGCCGGGAGCCAGCATCAAGAGCCAGCACCCGGGCAGGCTGGCTCACGCTGGAATCTGGCATCAAGTTGCAAATAGCAAAAACTAGAAGGTTGCCAATATTTTGGAAGATGGCGCTAAAGCTCAGATAAATTAGAGAACTGGGCTTTAGACAGCAAAAATGAAATGAAACAAGACAAATATAAGGTGCTATACTTAGGGAAGAGAAACTAAATGGACAATACAGACTGGGGGAAAATTGGGTTGGCAGCAGGACTGCTGAGAATGATCTGGGTGTTGTGGTGGGTTATAGCCTCAACATGAGGCAAAATATGCTACTCTTGTAAAAATGCAATCTAAAATGACATTCGCTTTAGCAGAGGCATAACATGTAAGTCATAGAAGGTGATAAAGTACTGCTCTATGGTATTTGTTAAGCCTCAGGTGAAGCGCTGTGTCCAATTTGGTCATCAGTGTATAAAAGGAATGTAGAGAAACTGGAAAGGATCCAGAGATGAGTGGCAAAGATAGTCAGAGGGGTAGAATATAAGTTGTATGAACAAAGGCTGATGGAACTGGGTATGTTTAGTTTAGAAAAAAGAAGATAAAGGGGGGAAATGATAGCAGTCTTCAGATACTTGAAAGTCTGCCTGAAAAAGATGGAGAAAAGATGTTGTCTTCTGCCACTGTGGGTAGGACAAGAGGCAGTGGGTTCAAACTACAGCATAGCAAATTTAGATTAAATCTGCAGAAAAACTGGTAAGAACAGTAGGATAGTGGAGCAGACTACCTCTGGAAGTTGCAGAACCTTTTTTACTGGAGAAAGTTTTCAAAAGGAGGCTGGATAGCTATCTGTCTTGGATGGCTTGGACACAATAGGTCTCACATCTTGGAGGAAGTTTGGACTGACTGGCTCTTGTGGTCCCTGGAAACCCTATGATTCTCAAGATTGGGGAGCAGGGGCAGCCCGTGACTATAGGCTGTTTTGGCCGCCACCTAGGGCGCCGCCTTCAGTGGCACCCAATGATGACGTCACGGGGCACCCGGGTACCCAATGATGTCATCCCATTGACGGGCGTGCAGGCGGGGGTGCCGAGTGTACGTTCCGCCTGGAGCGCCAGCTGCCACAGCCCACCTCAGGCCGCTCCTGTTGGGGAGCCTACCTCGGAAACCTGCAGACTCAGTGTCTGTGACTTCAAGATTTGGGCTCTTCACAAAAACACATACATTGTGAGCTGTTTTACCTGTCCTTTCTCCTCATGTCAAGGGAGTAACTCTACAAGTCTTCATGGACAACACTTCAGCAATTTTCTGCTTGAACAGGTGGGGAGTGTCCAATTCAGATTGTCTCTGTTTAAAAGTGATAATCTTTAGGAGTATTTTATCACCAGAACAACGCATCTCAAATCCTTGCACCTTTCTGGTGTTCAGTACAGCTTTGTCTAAGCAGATCATTCAGCAAGCAGATCATTGCCTAAGCAGATCATTCAGCGAGAATCTGTACTGGTCTTTCAGCCTGGATATAGTGTGATTTGTTTTTCAAATCGGTGGAGCAGTGCCTCACAGAGACTTGTTGGCTACTTGTCTCAACAGAAAGTGCCTGCTCTTTTGTTCTTGGGAGGTCTTAGTAAAGGCTCTTTGACCAGACACTTTCCTACTGTCTTGGAAAAAATAAATGACTGTTTGTGTACCCCTCCTGTGTTTCCCCAGATGTTCAAGCTGAACAGGATCATACTAGCATGATCCCTATAGCGTCAGCATGGCCTCACCAGGATTGGTTTAGCAGTCTGTCCTGAGTGCATGTCCCGCTCTCCTTTGCTTATATATTGGAGTTTGGCGAAGAGGAATGAGGAGGGTCTGGGGCTGTTTTGCCCTCCTTATAGGATTGGGCAGCAGCATAAAGCAACAGAGCGTGTATGCACCTGTCCCCCATCTCAGCTGGGTACTGGGTTAGCAAAAATCTCTGGCTCTGTTATAGAGAAAAGAAATTCAATACAGGAAGATTACAAGACTAGGAGAATAAATTAAACTGGTTTCTTGCATGATCATTGCTAAGAACTTTCAATTTAAGCTGTTGATGCCATGTGTATTCTTTAAAATACACTCAGTTTTTATGACATAATGGAAATGAGAAATGGGAAGGAATAGAAAAATGTAGGTTTCTTTGTAAATAAGTATCTTTTACGAAACTATGGTATAATATTTCCATTCATGTTCTACCTTAACTCTCTGAAGAAAGAGCTGTTTTTTTGCTGCATAATGTAAATTCAATTACATTTAATGAAACACATTTTTGTTCACTTTATAGATTGGGGCATATGATCAACAAATATGGGAAAAATCTGTTGAACAAAGAGAAATCAAGGTAATATTTTAATAATTTCTGTTTATAATGTAGGTTATGACTAACTTAATTTAAAATTATGTATCTATGGGGAATTATTACAATAAGAATTTTAGGAGTAAAAAGTAAAGCTCATAATGTTCTGAATTCCAGTGTATAACAAGTATTTTTTAATTTTGTTTATCATATATTATTTCCTTATTACTGAGAGAGTACTTCTAATCTGCAGTTTGTGGAAAGAAGTTTACGTCTCTTATAATATTTGACTGCAGTCTTCTTTAGCTATCATTAAACAAGATTGTGTTTTCTAGCTCCTATTTGTCACTTTTTGTAATTTTCTTTGTATGAATTCTAATGTCAGTTGCTTGAGCTGTTTTTTACTTTCAGTTAGTTACCTTATGCCTCCTTATATCCTCCTTCTTGATGCTATGATTGTTTTGTACAGTTTATTGGACTGGTAAGTACTTCAGGATGGTGGTTTTGTGTTGGTGTGCATAAGCTGCTATGCTGAACTGTGATTCTGCACGTTGGGGTGACTAACGGAATGTCATCAGTGTCTCTCATGGCCAACTGGTTATGCAAAAATAACAAATAGTCTTTTGTTATTGTAATAGATTATGATTTTATTTTATGGAATTCATTCACAATAAATTGTATTGCCTGATTACAGAAATGAAGTAGTTCTCCCAGTTTTTTTTCTTACAAATTAATTATAACTCCCTTACCCCCTTCAAGTTTTGCATATGATAAATGTGCTGCTTATTGCTATGGCTGAAAGCTGTTTCTAATTTTAGCACAAATAATTCTGATAACCTACACATTGCTTAAGATTTTACCATGTTTTAGTGCTTGGAAATTAAAATGAACAGGATGAAAATGAAAAGGGAGTTTAGATATGCCTTGGGCATGTTTTATTAAGTGGAAATTAAGCTGCGTTAACACATCCAAAACTGACCTGGACTGTGAAATTATGTGACCACAACTTCATTAAAGACTTTTTTCATTCTACAAAATAATTGATTTTACTCAAATGTTCCTATTTTTAGATCTGTTTAACGAGAAGAAGGCTTGAAAATATAAATATATTTTAGAGGGCACATTACTGTACACTAATCAGATAACAATGCTCAGTTAAATTGTGCCACCATCTATGTGTTTTTAAATTATCAACGAAATGATTTAGTCTTTGAGCATAAGAATGTAATATTTTATAGCAGTGGGTCTCAGTATTTCCAGATTTCTGTACTCCATTCAGGAAGGTTATTTGCCTTGGACATCCTCAAGTTTCATCTCACTTAAAAACTACTTGCTTACAAAGTAAGACATAAAAATGTCTCAGCACACAATTTACTAAAAAATTACTTACTTATTTTTACCATATAACTATAAAATAAATCAACTGGAATACAATATTTATTTTACATTTCAGTGTGTAATATAGAGCGCAGAACCGGGCAAAAATGCACCACGGTCCAGATCTGGTTTGCCAAGTCACTGATGCAGTCTGTGGGCATAGTAGCAGCCTCAGTAAGGCTGCCTGACTGTCCTGACCCCTTATGCCACTCAGAAAAGCCAGCTGCGAGGCCCTGTTTGACTCTGAACATCTGTGATTCTGGGGTTGGGGTGGAGGGAGGAAAGGCTTGTGTGCGGTTCCTGTCTGTTCCTGCCCCCAGCACAATCTTGCAGCTCCCATTGGCTAGAAGAATAGGCAGAATGCAAAGTCTCCTCCCACCCCTCCAGGCTCACAGCTGTTCACAGATGTACTGTGCAGCTCTGAGCAGCCTGTAGGGCATGGAAGGCTTAGCTGCTAGCCAGAGTTGCCCAGGTAAGCCTCTCCTGGCCACAGCTTGCCTCTGGCACCCCAGCCTTCTCCCCCCTCCCCCCCAGCTTGCCTCTGGCCCCCCAGCCTTCTCCCCCCCCCCCCCCCCCCGTCAAAACCTCTGTCTCACCTTTCTGTACCCCTACCCCACATAACTCAAAACCTCTGCCCCCCCTTGCACCCATACCTCCTCCCAGACCCTAAACCTCAAACCCCTGCCCCAATTCACCGCCCCCTCCTGCCCTAGGTCACAACGCAAAACCCTGTACCCCCTCCTGTGCCCCAGTCACATGCCCTAGGTGTCACAATCCCCTCCTTTGCCCAAATTCCCTCCTAGATCCCACACACCCTTCTGCACTTCAGTCCCTTACTTCAACTCCCTTCTGCATCCAACCTCCATCCCAGTCCCTACACTTCTTCCATTAATATCATGGAAGAATGCAGCTCTTGACCACTTATCAAATTCTTAGTGCTCCCCTCATCAAAAATTATTGCCTGCCCCTGATATAGAGCAATATAAATAAGTCACTGTATGAAATTTTAGTTTGTACTGACTTCTCTAGTGCTTTTCAACTAGCCTGTTATAAAACCAAGAAAATACCTTGACGGCTTGATGTACCCCCTGGAAGACCTGATACCCCAAGAGCACATGTACCCCTGTTAAAGAATCACTGCTTGATAGCACCTTTAACATGAGGGCCTCTCTTGACTTAGTAACAGATATGAGTGTGTCCATATGTTACAGAGATATGGTTCCAAAACCCCTCTTTCAACCAAGGTTCTATAGTTGTTCTAATTAAGGTAATAAAATAATAAAACTTGGATACAAATGTCTTTCAGGCTTGTCTTTCCAGGTTACAATGTACAGGATGTCGGGGTTTTGGGTCTTTTGGCTTATCAGAAGACCTGTATCTCATAAAGACATTGTCTAATACAGACTAAGATGTATTCAAATTATTATAAGAATGTTTGGAGTGGCAGGACTTCAGAAGTATCCAGTGTTATAACATCCAACACAAATTATAATCTCAAATCCAGACCCATGGAATAGCACTTTTTAATTCGTGTCATTTCAATTAAGTACCCTTGGGGTAGTATACAAATCATATAAATAAGAATTAATCTATTTCAGATGCATCAGGTTCTTTTCAAAACATGCCATATGCCTATCAGGGATATTTTTTGTTGTTGTTGTGCAGTCCTATTTTGCAATAAATAAGCAATTATACCAATCTGATTAAAACAATGCTGTTTACTGTCACATTTCTGTTCTTTGAGAGATGTCCCTGTGGGTGCTCTACAACAGGTGTCTGCATCTCAGTACCTCAGAACAGATTCTTCACGGTAGTGTGTGTGGGGGGCTGTGCATGCGTGGCAGAGTAGGCACATGTGAGTTGCTCGGCACAACTGTGCATTTGCAGCCACCCTCCTCCCCAGTTTCTTCTTTCTTCTTTCTTTATTTCACACCTTGGAAGGAAGGAATCAATCAATCCTGCTTTTCTCCAAGTTATGTTCCTGCTGTTCACCCTGTTGATAATGCCAGGCTTCAAACATCGTTCGGCCTTCAGTGAGGCTATGCCCATCTCTGATGGACATTCTGAGTGTGTCAGATGCCTCACTGAGTCCCATGTTCAACAGGACTGCCAGCACTGTGCTAAACTCAAGGTGAGAACAAGCAGAGACAGGGACCTCTGCCTGAAAATGATTGCTGGAAAAGGCACAACATCCTGCCCTGGATCCTGGCATGCAAGTTCCTGATAAGGGAAGACCCGAAAAAGGGGAAGAAGTCCTCAAAGAAACACACTTCTTCATTATATCACAAGCCAGAGTCACCTAAGTGGTGCCCAATTGAAAAATCGGTACCGAGGTCTGACCGATCACCTCGTCTCAGCACTTACAATTCCCTGGGCGTTTCCGGTACCGAAAACCGGAAGATTCTCTCTAGGCATGGCATCCACAGAACACACACTGAGGCTGCAGGCCCCTCCATGCCTGCCTCTCGTGTCTCGGCACCCACTACCGCACAGAGTAACCAGACAACTGAATTCTCGGCACTGAGGATTACTGCAAGGGCACCGCAGCAGCCAGCGGCAAAGCCCATTGACACTGTTCCGTCACCACAACATCCACTGGTGCAGACTACAACTGCACCAGCTCTGATACTGCTCATGGTACTGACAGCCCCGGCACCGTCCACGCCGGCACCAGGTACCTACATCACAGAGACCTTACGTGGTTGTCTAAGTTTAACTCCCCATTTCTTGGTACTGACATGTAACCTCCATTAGTGTCACCAAAACATCTCTCATTGCCTATGCTTTTATCCAGGGATGATAACGATAAAGGCGATTTATCTTTCTCACCTCAGTTATTGCCTGGTACTGTAATGTCAGCAATGTCCCAGTTTTAGGCACCTGATTGTCTTCAGCATGCCCCCCTGGGGCCCACACTCATGGATGCCACCGCCTATGTGTTATGCTGCACAATGACAATATTGGAGCCCATGGGCTTATGACTACAAAAAGAGACAGTCAAAAGAAACACAGCCCACATCCTTTCCTCCGCCACAGTCCCTGTCACATCAGAGGAAGCAGCAGGAAACTGTGGATCCACAATCTTGTGAATCCAGCCCCAATACATCCCCACAAACTCATCCTCCTCACCTGATGAGGCAGTCATGCCACTACCTCCAACCACGGCTGGTGACTTTACACCTTTCAGAATCTCTTTAAGAAGGTTGCATCTGAACTCAATATTGCCATGGAGGAAGTGCAGGAGACACAGCAAGAACTCACTAATATGCTCCAAGCTACGCCATCATCCAAGATCTCTCTGGCTATTAACCCAGCTATTATGGAGCCTGCACTAACGGTGTGGCAGACCCCTCCCCCCCCAACTATTCTCCTGACTTCTAAGAGGATGGATAGGAAATACTACTCTCTTTCCCCCCCCCCCACCAAAGTGGTTGGAATTTTTTCACCCACCCATCCCAAAACACTCTAGTGGTGGATGCTGCCCATCAAAGGAACAGACAGCATCAGCCTCGCTCCATCCCAGCTGACAAAGACAGCAAAAGGATGGATTTGTTTGGCAAGAAAGTCTACACCTCATTTATGTTGCAGTTCAGAGTTGCCAATTATGCCACACTCCTCAGTAAATATGATTTTTAACAACCACTCAAAAGTCAGTATTTTTATTGAGG